AGTGATCCTCCTACCTCAGCTCCTGAGTAGCTGGTACTTCAGGTGTGAGCCATCATGCCTGGTTAATTTAATACAATTTTTTTTTGTAGAGACAAGGTCTCACTATGTTGCCTAGGCTGGTCTTGAACTCCTGGACGCAAGTGATCCTCCCACCTCAGCCTCTCAAAGTGCTGGAATGACAGGCATGAGCCACCGCACCTGGCCAGTAGCCTGATAAGCTTAAGCAGAATTGTAGTATGATGTGCCCACCTACTCATGTTATATTGCCTTTTATACCTTATTATTTTTGTGAACCAGAATAAACTATATTATCATGATGGTTATACCTCTAAACTTATGATAAAGTTTGGACTAGGTGTGGTGGTTCACATTGTTAATCCCAGCATTTTGGGAGGCTGAGGCAAGAGAAATTGCTTGAGCCCAGGAGTTTGAGACCAACCTGGGCTATATAGTGAGACCCAGTCTCTACAAAAATTAAAAATAAGAAATTAGCCGGGCATGGTGGTGCATGCCTGTAGTCCCAGCTCGAGACTGAGTTGGATCACCTGAACCCAGGAGTTGGAGGCTGCAGTGAGCTATGATTGCACTGCTATACTTTATCTTGGGCAACAGATTGAGACCCTGTCTCAAAAAGAAGAATAAAATAATATAAAGTTTTCTTATTTTGTACTTTTATATGATACAATAATACTTTTTGAATACCAACTGTGTACTGAGTATTTTACTTGCACATCCTCCAATTCTTCTAACTGCCCTGAGCTGTGGGTAACCTAATCCCTCATTTTGCAAGTGAAGAAATTGAGGCTCAAAGTAATGAGGTGAGTGCCTATAGCTTATAAACTATAAAGCTGAGGTCTGACTCCAGAGCCCCTAACTTGAGCTTTCGATACTGTGCCACGCTATTGGTAGAAGTTGTCTGTGATAAAAGTACTGAAAAAGTTTTCCTAGTTTTTCTCCTAGCTTACAGGCTGTGCTTTCTCAGTTGTCCTTGCTATGCCTGATGTGTTGGAGGGCCTCAGGACTCAACCCCTTGTCTTCTCTGTCCACACAATGTCCCATTCTCTCTACACACAAGTGCCAGAGACCATATTTCTAGTCCTAGCCTCAGCGTTTTTTCTCAATTCCAGGTACATATAGCCATTTACTTACGCTACACTACCACTTAGTTTTCTTTCTTTCTTTCTTCCTTTTTTTTTTGAGTTGGAGTCTCACTCTGTCGCCCAGACTGGAGTGCAGTAGCCGCTCCTGGCCACCACAACCTCAACCTGCTGGGCTCCGGTGATCCTTCCACCTCAGCCTTCCAAGTAGCCGGAATTACAGGCATGCGCTACCACACCCGGCTGGTTTTTTGATTTATTGTAGAGATGAAGTCTCGCTGCCCAGAAGGGTCTCGAACCCGCGGGCTCAGGCAATCCACTCACCTCAGCCTCCCAAAGGCGCGGGATTACAGGCTGAGCCACCGAGCCCGGCTCCACTTAGTTTTCTAAAAGATGTTCTTCAACTTAACCTATCCAAAACCAAACACTTGATTCTACCCTAAAACACTCTACCCTTCCTGAACCCTCCCCATTGCAGTAAGTGGGTCACTACTCTCCTGTTTGCTGAGGCCCAAATCTTTGGTGTTTTACCTGACCCTTCTTTCTTTCAGACCCTCTTCAATCCCCCAGCAAATACTTTGGCTCTACCTTCAAATCAGTTCTAGACTCTGAGCACTTCTTCTCGCCCCCATGGCTACCTGCCTTGTCTAAGCCGTCTTTCTTTCTAGCCCGTTTTTTTGCAGTAGCCACCCAATTGGCCTCGCTGCCTAATTCTTGCCTCTCTACAGTTTTTCCTCCACCCAACAGCTAGACAGTTCCATGAAAGGATAAATCAGATCATGTCATTTCTCTGCTCAAAATCCTCCAGTGGCTTCTCACACTTAGAACAAAAGCCAACTCTAATCTATAATCCTCAAGACCTTACATGTCCTAGCCTTGTCTACCTTTCCCTGCTCATTCGCCTACTCCAGTCAGATTAGACTAATAGCTGTATGGCTACTCAAACCTACCAAGCACATTGCCACTTGCAGGGACTTAGCACTTGCTGTGTCCTCTGCCAGTAGCAGGCTTCCCGTTTTGTTCACAAGTTTACTTCCTGCTTTTATCCACATCTTTGCTCAGATGTCTCCTCTTCAGGTCCTTCCTGACTCACCCTACCTAAAAGACAACCCCGCCATTCCATCTCTATCCTTTTACTCTGCTTCATTCTTCCTAATAGGGCTTAGCATTCTTTGATATTAATTTTGATTGGTTTATTATAAGCACGTATAACATCCTAGACGTTAGATCTATCACCCTCACTCATTCTCTTTCATGGCGTACATAAATATACAGTCGATCGTGTGATTTAAAAAAAAAAATGGTTTAAGCCATTCCTTATTTATCTAGCCAAAGCTTACATCAGCTTCATAGTAGTAGAAAATGAGGGAGGCAGGATCCTGGTTACCTAAAACATACCTAGTATTCTGATGAAATGAAGATGTGCAGATAACTTTAAATCCAGAACACTCAATTTTGCTTTCCTTGCTTTTTCTACACTTGATATGCACTGGGCAAGACTGGCAAAACAAACAAACAAAGCACAAATATATATATAAAATCTGATACGCTGCCTCAGTTTCCTCAGTGTAACTGAGAACAAAATTGGGCTTGAGAGGAATAGACCCAAGCAAACAAGACTACACTTTCTCATTCCCACTCTCAGATGTCATCTCTCCCTTCATGATGACTGCCATATTCTTTTGTATTACATATCAAGTAATATGAGTCTCAGGAGCCCCACCTGCCCTGGTCATTGTTCACTGAACTGCATTTCTGGCTCTTGGGTAACTCCTCACCACTTTAAAAAAAATTTTTTTAATTGTATGTGTTTAAGAAGTATAGCATAATGTTTGATGTATAAGTTCTGATAGGAAAAAAAGGTGTGTTAACACATAGCAATTAAAATTCTAGCAGTTGACAAAGGTTGGCTTGATATTCTTAGAATCATCTAGACTAGTGGTTCCAAGCCCTGGTTACTAAGTAGAATCACCTGTGCACTTGCAGCACTCCAGGTCTCCAGCCTTGGGGTTGGGATAGGGCTCTGGTGTGGTACATGCTACACCACACCAGAGCCTTCCTTTCTCTTTTTCTCTCAGGTCGCATATGTTTCTAGTGTTAAGTACATGCTATGAAGCAAACAAATGAAGGGCAGAAAAATAGGAGGAGAGATGGTGGGAAGGACTTTCTGAAGGGGCAGCATTTAGTCTGCAATGGGGGAAGTATTAAGGGAAGAACATTTCAGGCAGGAAATAGCGTGCCATGTTCACAATTAAAAGCAGAGCAGTGTGGCTGGAGCACAGCAAGTGAGTAAGGGAAGAGCTCCAGTGTCATGAGAGGAAGAGGCTGGGCCATGTCCAGAGGCTTTGCAAATACCCAGGAAGAGTGTGAGTTTTGTTCTGAGTGCTGTTCTAAGAACCTTCAGTACTGTGTGGAGAATGGACTGTAGGAAAACAAAAAAGGAAGCTGTGAGACCCAAGCTGGTCTTGATGATGAACAGGACTAAATTAGGGGCACCAAGGATGGAGAGGAGAAGGCATTTCCAGGGTATGGGTTTTAAGGACATCAACAGGACTTGCAATGAGTTGGAAACTGGGTGGGGGAGAAAATGGTGGCAACAAGGTTGGTGCCAAAGATATCCTGCTAGGGGCAGTATAGGGATTGGTTGAGGACCCCAGTTGCCTCATCTGCAACATGGGTGTGTATTAAGGCACTTCTCTACTGAGTTGGTAGCAAGTTGACATTTTTAAAGCACTTAGGGCAGAACTTGGCACATGGTAAAACACTATGTAAATATTAGAAATGATTTGGATAATGGTTATTTGTCCAAGGCTGCACAGCTGGTCAGCAGCAGGTCCAGGACAAGAAGCCAAGGCTTAGCCTCTTGGTTTAGTGCATTTTATGCTACACTGAGCTGCCTCCTTCAATTACGTTTGAACTTTTTTATTTATGCAGACGCTTGGTAAAGGGTTTGGCCATCATGGGACACAATGAGTCGCTCTTAGCATAATATACGAGTGTCATACTAAGCATGATAAATTGCTAGAGTTTTCTGTATACCCTGGAATCTCAGATTATTTTGGCTACCCATAAAATGGTACCATTCCAGACAAAACACAGAGCCTGAATGGCGGGAAGAAGGGGGTACTTGAAGAGAGATATTCTGTGGGTAGTTTTTAAATATTAAAAGAAATGTGTTACAGAATGTGCTCATGTTGTCCACATGCTTAGTGTGGAGTAGGCACATGGACTACAACAGGAGATAGCATTAAGGGTTCTTAATACCGGAAGTTGTAGGTCAGTGCATACCAGGAGGAGGAAAGAAATAAAGCTAAGAATGTTAGCGTAACTCCCCCAGATTGTCAGTTTTCTAGTGATACATCTTAAAGAAGTGTTTGAAGTGCTTCTATCTGTCGGTTTCAACTAAGCTAATTTTTAAAAATCGCTCTTTGTACTGCGCCTTTCTCATGAACCTCTGTGAGTCTAATGCATGCAATATGTAGGGGGAAATCCTCTCAGCCTCAGTTCCCATCCCCCCAAAGTCTGAGCAGCAGATTTTAGAACACTGTTGCACCTGCAAAGTTTTGTCATTTTGTTAAATTGGACCTGAGACCATTTTCAGTGTGTCCTAGAGGAAAAAATTTCAGAAAGATGTGAGAAAAAATGCCAATCCAGCCCTTCCTCCCTCATGTTGACTGTCTGTTTTGTTGCACTTCTATCTCAAACAGCGTGGGGAGGACTGTTCTTCATTACCAGGGAATGTGAGTCATTCCCAGCTTTGTGTGATTGGGATTCCAAAGCATTGCTGTATCCGAGGGTCTTATTAAATCCAAGTGTCAGTGCAGCCTTTCAGACTGTAGGGGAGAGCTCAGTTACAGCTGGTGACCTGGTTCTAGTTACCACACAGAGACAGTGGCGAGAGCAATGACCCCCTCTGAGTACCCAGAATTCCACATGGATGGCTATTACCAACTGTTCCCAGATTTGGGGGTTTTCTTGGTTCACTTCATGGGCTTCAGTACACTTCAGCTCCCTGTTTACATCCTAGTTGGGATCTGTATACTTTAGGGGAAAATGTTCTAGTGTCTGTAGAGAAGCTAGTGCCAAGATTAGCCTATCTTTTAGAGGGTACCTCGTTTCAGATTTGCTTAACTCTAGCAGTGTTAACTGCACTGTGTCCAGGATCTAGCAAGACACTGTCCGTTTCCAGCTTGGTCCAAACAAAACAAATAAAACATCAACCAAAGAGGGAGGAAACCATGGATGTTGCCAGAAAATTAGTTTGCTCTGTCTTTTCTTTTTCCTAGAATGTTTCACAGCCAATGGTGCAGATTATAGGGGAACGCAGAACTGGACAGCACTACAAGGCGGGAAGCCATGTCTGTTCTGGAACGAGACTTTCCAGCATCCATACAACACTCTGAAATACCCCAATGGGGAGGGGGGCCTGGGCGAGCATAACTATTGCAGGTAAGATGGGGCCTCTTGGTGCTTTAAAAAAATATATCTGTCCTCCATTTCCAACTTCTTTTCATCCCTACTCACAACTAGGAAAAGCTTTTTCATCTGCTTTTGGCCACCTCAGAAGGCCTTTTTTTTCATTGTTTTTAAATTCTCTCTCCTACACTTTACACACACACTCGTGCGCGCACACACACACACACACACACACACACACACACAAACACACATACACATACACACAGAGTTTCTCATTCTTTTCAACTTGGGTTGCTTTGATACTGGTTTTCAGAGCTCTACCTTCCTGTCTGATGACTTCCTCGTCTCTTTGGGAGGGTTTTCTTAGTTGGCACTACCACCAGTGGACAATACACAAACAGCAGAGCTGCCTAGGCTGTTGACAATGTAGTGATCAAACAGCACCATCTGTGACCCAAACCTCCCACTGCTGCTGAGCAAAGGAAGCTGTCTGCATTATTCCACGTTTGGACGGCCCAGGATAACCTTGCTCTGGGAGCAGCTATATCCATGAGATTTGTGTTATTTACTTCCTTTCAGTAGCCTAAGGTTTTCACCTCCTGTCTGACTCTAGCAGGGTTTCTTAGTCTGACATCCATAGTGCTTCAGATGTGTGTTTACAATTTCCTGGGGAGATGACCTATAGGTTTGATCAGATTCTCAAAGTTATGTGTGATTGAAAACAAGGTCAGAATCACTGGTATGTAGGGACCAAAGCACTTCTGATTATACGCTTTTGCTACTTATACCAAAGACCTTGGTAACAAGACTCATGGTTCAACAATGTATTGAATTTAATTATTATTAGGACAGGTGAAAAGGCAGCCTCTTGAGCCACTGGAATAGGGAAAAATGATTATTGAGCTCTACTCTGAGCTACACACTATGTCCTTGATTCTGCAGACATTGTAATCTCAACCATGGCACTGTTGATCCAGCTGAGCCAACATATATGTTCCTGCAGTGTGTGGGCCACGCTGTTTACCTTCTGTCCTCTTTGTACCTCTGCTAACACTCTAGGACCCTTGTGTGGGTGTCTTGGAATCACCAGGCCTCTAGTCCATGTTTTCTTTATCCCTTCAGTGCTTTCCTTTACCTCTGTCCTAACTCATATCAGCTGACCAGCCCCTTCTAGTTGCTGTTGTATTATTTTTATTTATTTGTTATTATTATAAAAGTATTAATAGCTTGTTCCAAAAAAATTTCTCAAACGCTGCAGATATATATTGTTTAAAAAGTTAAAATTCCTCATCTTACTTCTTTCCTGGAAACTCTCCCCACCAAGTCTCAATTCCCAGAGATAACAATTTATATATTTGCCATTCACATTTTGCTATCTGTTGAATTATATTGTTGAAGTTATATATACTCATTAAATACTTGTTTATATTTTATTTTCAGTTACACATTTTAATTTTTTGCATAAATTAAAACATCAGTCCCACTCCATTTCTGGTTTATTATCTCCCCTTGGTTTTATTACTCATAGGAATAGTTGGGTTGGACTGGGAAGAATGTTTAGGAAGAGAAACAAGTATCTTATCTGTTTTTTGTTTTTACATGGTTACTTCTTGTTCCAAAGTGTCTCTTGGTAGTAGGCCGGTGGTTTATTCTATTACTCTGTTGCCTCCTATTAAGCAAGTCTTTTCAGAAGTGCTCCTGTTTTTAAGTCTGACTTTAAGGTAAATTTTGAATTTCCAATGAGGTTTAATTTATGTGAAAAACAGGTTTTTTTCCCTTGTAGATTAGCATCCACTTCCCCTCACAGGCTCTCCAAAGTGTACTCACAAATACCCATTAAGAGAGCAGTGGGGGCAGGGAAGGACCACCTTTCCCCTTAGCTCTGGCCAGCTGCAACCTTCTCCTTTGATTTGATGGAATGTACCAGACCTGAACTACCAGTTTATACTTCAAAAAAGAAGGCTGAAATTGTTGATGATTATCACATCAGAGAGTCCAGGCCTTTTGTTTTAACACTGCAGTGAAGTCAAGGATGAATTTACTTGTACTTTATTAAACTGTTCTGATGCTTTTCAGGATGGTTTTGACATTGATAATAAACAGTTGGTTTTTTTGTTTTTTTTTTGTTGTTTTTTTTTTTTTTTGAGTTGGAGTCTCACTCTGTCACCCAGACTGGAGTGCTGTGGCCGCTCCCGGCCACCGCAGCCTCGACCTGCTGGGCTCCGGCGATCCTTCCGCCTCAGCCTTCCACGTAGCTGGCACTACAGGCGTGCACTACCACGCCCGGCTCATTTTTGATTTATTGTAGAGATGAGGTCTCACCAAGTTGCCCAGGTGGGTCTTGAACCCGCGGGCTCAGGCAATCCACTCACCTCAGCCTCCCAAAGGCATGGGATTACAGGCTGAGCCACCAAGCCGGCTAACAGTTGTTTTCTAAGGGCTTTACCAAATAAACACTACATCAAAGCTGAACGCTGAATAGAGGGAGCAAAATAAGAGTGAAATACTGTTTGAAGAAGGGCTTTGTACAAGTTCTCCTACTCTGATTTCTCAGCTGACACCCGACACTATGTTTGTCTTGTGCGACTTTCAGAACCATCACATTTGAGATGTCTGAGAGTTGGTGAGTGATGGGAATGCACTTCTCTGGGCTCCAAGTATTTGGATTAGAAGAGAAGGCAGAGACTGGGGAAGAGCAGAGTTGGTGCTGGTACCTGCCTTTGGGCACAAAAAATAAAAGGATGCTTTGTGCTTCAGGGAAGCTTATCTTCTAGGCCACACAATAGGCTTATCCCGTTCTGGCCTGATAGGGGTTGCTTGCTCCATAGCTCCCGCTGCTGGGTCTTTCTGCCCATTTCCGGCCTAATCAGAGTGTCAAGTTTCCAGTGTTCTGAGTCTAAATAAAAGGGACTTGAAAAGTGGTGGAGAGGCTTTTTACTGTGTGTCCAGTAACCCCTGCCATTTAAAAAATCTACTTCAGCAGTGTCGCTCATTATCATATGGCATCTCTGAGTTGAAAAGACCTTAAGAGAGATTTATTCCAAGACATTCTCATTTAGAAATATGAACCTTAAAAAATATTATTGCCGTGTCAGAAGTTGATGCCAAGATGACAGGATCACACATTCTGAGACTCTGGCACAGTTTTCTTCAGAATTCTTAGTATTTGAGGGAGGAGTAGGACATTTCTATCAAATGTGAGTTCACTGGCCTGATCCTGGTGAAAGCTTTATTATGTGGCAGTGGAGTCTTTATTATGTGAATTTTATTTTGCCATTTAAAAATTACACAGTTGGAGTATTCATTGTAGAGGATAAAAGAAAGTTAAACCAGAAAAGAAAAAAAATTTTTTTTTTTTTGAGTCAGAGTCTCACTCTGTCACCCAGGCTGGAGTGCAGTGGCACGCTTCCGGCTACCGCAGCCTTGATCTGTTGCGGCAATTCTTCCACCTCAGCCTTCCAAGTAGCTGGAACTACAGGCATGTACCACCATGTCTGGCTAATTTTTCTTTATTTATTGTAGAGCTGAGGTCTTACCAAGTTGCTCAGGCTGGTCTTGAACCCCTGGGCTCAAGCAACACTCTCACCTTGGCCTCCCAAAATGTTGGAATTATAGGCGTGAGCCACCGGGCTTGGCCAGGAAAAAAATTTAAATCACCAATAGTCCCATCAACTAGAGATAAATACTTTTAAGGGTATTTAAGTCTCTATACCACATCTCCCCTAGCTGCCTAGCATTCCCTTATATGGATATACCATATTTATTTAATGAATCCTTTTATTGTTGGATACTTGCCACTACCAACTTATTTAGGAAATTGCTGTGTAAAGAGTTTGTATATTTTAGGGCTTTTGGCTCTAATTAACAAATTACTATCCTGACCATTTGTATCAGTTCACATGCTCATCAGCAGTGTTGAGTGCACCTGTGCTCACTCAACCTTGGCCTCTCCATATCCACATTCAAGGTGCCAGTTTGTTTGGCATGATGTGTGCTGTAGTCAGTCATCCTAGTTACACTACAGTGAATTTATCTAAGAACATGTTACCATTGCTCACTTTCCCCCAAACTCCGAAGTATATGTCAGAGTGGACAGGTTTGTTCTCATAATATTACCATTTTTTCCTTTTTGATAAGAGATGGCACTAAGATATATGCCAATTATTAGAAATAACACAGAAGCTAAAGCAATTCCTTTCCTGTAAAACTGAAAAGCAATGAGCCAGATAACTTAAAATATCAGAAATGTCATCAATTATGTCATTTTCCCTAACAGAAACCCAGATGGAGATGTGAGTCCCTGGTGCTATGTGGCAGAGCATGAGGATGGTGTCTACTGGAAGTACTGCGAGATACCTGCTTGCCAGAGTAAGACTGATACACACTGTGATGGTTTACAGGGCTTTGAACACTAAGAGTGCAGAATGGAAGGCCCTTGCCAGAGGCCAGGTAGTTCGGGCTGGTGTATTTCGTGAAGCATGTGAAAGGAGAAGCCATCCTGGACTGAGGATTTCCACTTCTCTTGTTGAGGTTTTTCAGGGAGAGGAATGCCCATTTCCTCAATACCCCACTCCAAGGTTATCCCTTGATGGGTGAGCCCAATGAGAAATTCTGCTCTTAATGAACTTCTTCATGCTGATTCTTTCATGAATAGAGGGGGCAACAGTTCAGTGGCAGACTAGGGAAAAAAGATATCTTGCGTTTTGGAGAATAAATGTTTTGGAGTGAGTATCTTCATACATAATAAAGTTAAGTTATGACACTACTTGTTATTCAGATTTGAACAAGTTCCCTGAAAAATTATATTCAGTAAATACCTTGTTAAATACCATACAAAGCTGATATAATAGTTGTTTACCCACATTAGCATAATATGTTCTATTACTTTTTATGATAATAGCTCATAACCCAGTTTCTTCAGCCTTGTACTGAAAGGCCTGTTTTCTAACTATTTCATTCATTCATTTCTGTATTCAGTGTTTATTAGATGCAAGGTACAAAAGCAAAAGGATACCTTGACCCTCAGGAGTGTACAGTGTAGGGGAAATCTTAAAAATATACAATTGAGACTGGGCACGGTGGCTCCAGCCTGTAATCTCGGCACTTTGGGAGGCCAAGGTGAGAGGATTGCCTGAGCCCACGGGTTCAAGAACAGCCTGGGCAACTGGGCGAAACCTCATCTCTACAATAATAAAAAAATTAGCCAAATGTGGTAGCATGCACCTGTAGTTTCGGCTACTTGGAAGACTGAGGCGGAAGGATCGCCTGAGCCCAGCAGGTCAATTCTGAGGTGACCGTGAACATGCTACTACCTCCAGCCTGGGTAACAAAGTGAGACTCCAACTCAAAAAATACACACACACACACACACACACACACACACACACACACACACATACACGCACACACAATTATGTGCTACATAATGACGTTTTGATCAACAACAGACCACATATATGACAATGGTACCATAGATTATAATGGAGCTGAAAAATTTCTATTGTCTAGTGACATCATACCTATTGTGACATAGTAGCACAGTGTATTACTCATGTGTTTGTGGTGAAGCTGTTGTAAGAAAATCATGTGGTGCCAGCCTTATAAGAATATAGCAGGCAGGGCCTGATGGCTCAAACCTGTAATCCCAGCACTTTGGGAGGCTGAGGCAAGAGGATTGCCTGAGCTCAGGGGTTCGAGATCAGCCTGGGCAACTTGGTGAGACTTTGTC